GGACATTGTTTCGTTCTGCTGTGCATGGGGTCGCTATGAGTCGGTTCCGACTCGATGGCACCTGACAACAACATAGGGTTACCAAGAGTCACTGGTAGGTTTGAACTGATAACCTTGCAGTTACCAGCCCAGTTCTTATCCTTTCACATCACACAAAGACTCAAAAGATTGACTAGCTTAAGAAAATATATATCAATAAGCTTTCTTAAAGTTCATAATTCCTCTAGCAATTTACACTAAGGCAATATTCAGATATGTACTAATAAAATAAGTTCAAAAGAATCTAAATATCAAGAAGACAGTCCAATAAAAACATAAAACTAAAAACTTTTAAACACTGGAAAAAAAGTATCCTATCTCATTCAAAATAAGAGAAAGGAATGGAAAAACACAATGATGTGGCATTTTACTACTACCAGACTGATAACTTTCTAAGAAGGTGAGAGTGTCAGGAAACAGGCATTCTTGTGTATTGCCATTGAGAAGGTAAATTGACTCAATCTTTTTGGAGGGCAAGTTGGCAATATACACCAAAATTCAAATGTACACACATTTTGATCTACCAATTATACTACTAGGAATTTATCTTTCAAGTTATACTCATACACATAAAAATGACATACATACAAGGTTATTCACTGTAGCAAATGACTGGGAAAATTTAAATCTCCAGTAATAGAAGACCAGTTAGCATGAAATATTCATACCATGGAACACTAAATCACTACAAAAAAATAAAATAAAAAATGAAGAAATCTTTTATGTCCTCATATAGAATGAAGTCCAAGATACATTGTGTAAGTGAAAGAGCAAAATTCAGAAAAATATGCATGTAAAGCAACTATTTGTACTGAAAGGGGAAAAACATATTATAAATTAGCTTGACAATTCATAAAATATCTCTAAAGATAAATTAACAATGGTTTTCTATGGGGAGGGAAGCTAGAAGCCTGGAGGACAAGGGTAGACAGGAGACTGCCATTGTGTATACCTTTCGAAATTTAAAGCATGTAAATATATTCTTTATTTTTAAAAAACAAGAAAATGTTGTTAGTGATATAAATGTTCTAGGTCATAATTGTGGCAAGTATACACTATCAAAACTACTGTACGCTTTAGAAGAATAGTAGAATACAAATCCACCAACTTCTCCTCAGTATGGTACTATAGGATTGGCACCAGATTGTGAACCACAAAGTTGGCAATTCAAATCCACCAACTACTCCTCCTGGAAACCCTATACAGGGTCACTATGAGTCAGAACTGAGTCCACCGCACCTAACAACAAACAGCATGCCAATTACTGTGTAGATACTTTACTAAAACCAAACTCATTGCCAACAAGTTGATTCCAACTCATAGTGAACCTATAAAACAGAGTAAAGCTTCCCCATAAGGTTCCTGAAGCTCTAAATCTTTATGGAAGTAGATTGCCACATCTTCCTCCCACAGAACAGCTAGTAGGTTTGAACTGCCGACCTTTCAGTTAGCAGTTAAACGCTTTAACCATTGTGCCAACAGCACTGTTCTATTTCTTCTAAGCCTCAGTATAATCCCCTAAGGCAGGTAGGAGTACTCTGTTTTACTAATGAGTAAATTCAAAGTGGCTAGAGTCAGTTAGCTATTAAGTGGGAGAGTCTTTGTTTAAACCCAGGAATGTCTAACCCAAGTCTCCTTGCTATGCCACCTTCATATCTAGAATGTAATCTAATTATGTGAATTCCTAAGAGCCAAAACTTCTTTAGCCTTTAATAGTGTTAAAAGAGATGGCACACATTTAATGCTCTTATACCCCCTCAACATTTTTAGCCACATAGCAAAAGAATCTTAGAGAGATTAAGTAATCCATTTTAAGTACTCAGACTGACCCAACTTCCATGCACTGAACCAGTAAATTCCACACTACATTCCAAAACAAATTTACTTTTTGGAACCAATACAGACTTGTACAAGGAGCACAATTTGAAGTTCTTTCTTCTGCCTTTTTAATCCTACCCATTCTACATTTCTGAAAGTTCCACTCATCAAGAAGTAGAAGACACTTTCTCCCTCAAATTACCCCATTATCATCTTCTTTTCCCTACCATTCTTATTGTTTATAATAATATTTTATTGTGTTTTTGGTGGAAGTTAACACAACTTCCTTACTACTCTGGCAGAAGCTTCTGTAACACGTATGTGTGACTACTTACAAAACTCAGAGTGGGTTGAGAAGGGCAGCAGACCCTTGGCAGGACCAGAGTGACCACATGTACCTTTTTCTCCCGTAGGACCAACTCTTCCCGGTCGTCCTGGTGCGCCTTTTTCTCCCTTTTCTCCAGCATCCCCTGTGGAAGAAGTCACACAAATTTAAGAACTGGTTTCCAGAATTTTAGTATAAATTGTGGGATAATAAAAATTAGAAAATGAATTTAAAATTTAGATTATTTTCCTGTCTATACCACCAATCAGGAGTCCTGGTGTGGTGCTGTGGGCTAATGCGTCAGACTGCAAAGTCATTTGAACTGCAAAGTCAATGGTTCAAGCTCACCAGCTGGTCCTTGGAAACCCTACACATAGTTGCTATGGGTCAGAATCGACTCGATGGCACTTCACAACAACCACCAGTCAGGCCTCTTTTTCTTCTTGTTCCATCGTTCTGTGGTGCTTGATGCCCTTCAACCTGACATTCTCTCCTCTTCTGGCCTCTGTAGTATAGTCCAATACAGGGCCTCAGGATCTCCATCTATAATACCTCTGCCTCCTCCTGCCCCACTAATGTAGGTAAGCCCCCAATTCTGTTCTTGGAATGCTTTCTTTTCTTATACTTTATTCCTCTCTTCAATTATTTATTTGTCCCTGTTTTCATTGTCCCATTATGGCAACTCTTAATCCATCCTCTTGACTCATGGCATGGCATTGTAGGATAACCACTAGACTGCTAACTGCAATGTTGGTGATTCAAACCCACCAGCAGCAACTCAGAAGCCCTATGCAGGGTCACTATGAATT